CACAGTGCTGTCCATGATGGTGAGTGGAGGGAGTGCAGGGGGGTTCCTGAAGTCCATCATCTCCACAGTTTTGAGCGTGTTCAGCTCCAGGTTGTTATGACTGCACCAGACAGCCAGCTGCTCAACCTCTTGTCTGTAAGCAGACTCGTCGCCGTCCTGGATGAGACCGATGACTGTAGTGTCGTCTGCGAACTTCAGGAGCTTGACAGAGGGGTCTTTAGAGGTGCAGTCGTTGGTGTACAGGGAGAAGAGCAGTGGAGAGAGGACAGAACCCTGAGGGGCACCAGTATTGGTGGAGCAGCTGTTTGACATGAATTTCCCCAGTCTCACTAGCTGTTGCCTATCTGTCAGAAAGGGTTACTTCAAATAAGTAACAACTAACCAGTTTTTCTGTAATTATCTGAGAAAACTCATCATTATCCCTAAAATGAGAAAGACTGAACCGATGAGCACAAGCACATGTCAAAACGATTATAAACACAGTATAAACGATTAGAGACTCTCGTGTTTCTTTTTTTAAAAACAAATATGTTAAAATATATATATTGTATATTAGCACAATTATTGTCATTATCCCACCGACTTCGTTCACAAACCACACTGAAAGTGTTGCCCCCACTGAACAACACAGAAATGATCCGAGTGCAAAGACTGGAGATTCATGGCTAAAAATTTCATTGAGAATTATGAATGTATAAGCTCCGACTGTGACTCCAGGAGCTGTGTAACACGCTATGAGCACATCTGACCACGTCCTGATGCTGATGATTGACCCAAGGACCAAAGCTGAACCCATCATGTATAAAAGTCTTTGCAACATGATGGTTTGTATTTCAATGACTTGACTTATCCTGCTACACTCTAATTCTTGCATTACTTTTGTTTTTGTAAGTATGGTTGCTAGTGATGATAACAAGGCCAAATTTAATGGTATGACAACATCTGGACTCAGAATGTGTCTTAGATACACCATAAACAATACAAGTGCAGTAAATTTTGCCCCAAAATTTAAGATTTTGTCCCTTCCTTTAGTGTAAATAACAAGAGCGGTAAGTGAAACAAGGAAAATCCATCCTATGTTTCCAACTGCTCCTCCTAAAGTGTCATATATTACAGACAAGAGCTGATTTTCTTCATTCACAGCCTTGTTGTTCTTTTCTGTTTCTAACTTTTGTCCCCGTACTGAGTAAAATCTGTGATGGTTGAGCCGAACTAACTTGTCTATTTCTGCTACGAGAGCTGCTCTTCGAGCAGGTTTTGGTTCAGAGTCTCTTATGATGTGAAATCTTCCTCCACATGCGTTGATCATTTCTCCAGCAATCCCTCTGGAGGCTCCTGTGAATCGTTCCTGGTGATTTTGCAGCAGAAGAACAATGCAGTGCTGCAGGACTTCTGCTCCCAGCAGCTCCTGGGCTCGTTTCACAATATCACACTGTTGTGATTGTTGATCTTCCAGATTCAGGAGCATTAAAACGGCGTGAGGTCCAGGAGACGAGAGAAACAGCGCTGTTGTGAAGGTCTGTCTCGTTGTGTCCTCCTCACAGAGGTTTGGTCCAGTGATCAGCATCATTCTACGAGCCTCGTCTGTAATTACTGGAGTCTTTACAATCTCTCTGTCCTCCTGTCCACCGTCTTTCCTTCCTGACAGAAGATCTGCAGCGCTGAATCTGGACTGACCTCGGCTTCCCACCATCAGGATCCTCACCTCATCATCACGAGAAGCTGCAAAGAACAGTGAAACCATGCAAAGTAATAAAGTGTGGTAGGATTGGTACATTCTTTGAGAACAATCTTCTCAAGTAAAGTGATATTGTGTTAGGATTTTTAAAAATTTTTAATGAGACCAAAATACTGATTCAGAAGAAGGAAAGTCATTCAAAGTTTGCAATGACATCAGGATGAGTAAATGAAGACAACCATGAGATATAGGTACACTATTAATTTTACATTTTTGTTTTAACGGTAACGAGCTGGTACATTACCTTCTGTTTGTTCAGACATGGTGTGAGATACCAGAATCAGTTTGAAGAGCCAGTTGGCTTTTGTCTTGGTTAGTTTAATCGTACAACCTAATACAATGTAGCCAAATGTAACTTTAAATATCTGTGACTCAAGTTACCCAGATCAACAAAACTAGAAAAATCCTAAAAGTTATTTTTTTTACTTACAGTCAGTTTACAGTTCTGTCCTGTCTCTTCCTTTGTTAAGACAACTACACTCAACAAGGATTGGTTCTAGACTAAACCTAAAATTAGATACTAAACTAGTAGGACAGGTTTTTAGAAACAGCCTAAAGCTAGGGACATTTAGTTAGTGTATATGTTTTTGTGTAAAGTTTCTGCCTACATTTTTCATTGGTCAAGCCACTTTTTATCCACCAGTGTTTTTCACATTCAAGTGTGTTGTTTCACAGTTGTTTCAAATCCCTCTGCACACAATCTCAACTGTATATTACACATTTAGCATGAGGAAATCACACATGTGCTCTCTCCATGGTGAGGCCTTGCAAACATTTAGGCTACATCATAATAACAATCTATGAAAGCTGCTGCAAATAGTCTTTAAGGAATTATGACTCCAGATTCTCATGCGTAAGGATCTTTGAGCAATGCGTTCTTCATATTGACCCATTTTCATGCATCCTCGTCTCTGGTTGTCTTGGCCATCGTTTTGAGACCAGACTGTGCTGCCATGTTTGTTCAGAATGGCTCCGTCAACTCTTTCTGGCCTGAGGGCAACGTAAAACTTTCTTCATCGCCTTATCTTCCAGACATCTCTGCTGTTGGCCAAGGTTATGATGTCTTCTTTGCTGTTATTGCAAGATCATACATTTTTGCTGTTTGTGTTGGGGTGTTCACTTATGCTATAATCCAAACCAAACCCTGAAGTGTTTTGCTTTTAGATATTTGCTTAAACGTACTGGAGTAATTTAAAATCTCAGTGTCATGTGTTAAAACAACTGTAAATCTCAAGCTCTAAGCTCTAAGTCTATTATATTTCAGCGCTTGTGCAAAAACCAAAATGTGTCCTGCTGCCCTAGACCTTGACATTTTCCCTTCAGAAATGAACGAGAAGAATTTCCTTACCGCAGTTGCCTCTTCTGGCTCGGACGACAGCGCTGAAGTGGAGACTCAGCAGGGGTCTTGCTTTCCGCTCACCCATTTCCAAGACTTTCATTCTTTCAGTGGAAAACTGGGTCGGAACAGAGACCATAAACGATCAGTGATTTTTGAGGTGAAAATCTGTGACCTATAAAATACCTAGAGCAAGGATTCACAAACATTTTTTTGTCAGCCGTACACCTTTGAGATAAAATATTTACTTGAAGTCCCCCTGAGATTTTAAAGGAACAGTTCACCCAAAAATGAAAATTTGCTGAAAATGTACTCACCCTCATACCACCCAAAATGTAGATGAGTTTGTTTCTTCATCAGATTTGGAGAAATGCAGCATTGCATCACTTGCTCACCAATGGATGTGAATGGGTGCCGTCAGAATGAGAGTCCAAACAGCTGATAAAAACATCACAATAATCCACAAGTAATCCACAGCACTCCAGTCCATCAGTTAACATCTTGTGAAGCCAAAAGCTGCGTGTTTGTAAGAAACAAACCCATCATTGAGGCATTTGAACTTAATCACATAATCCATAATAACGCTTCCTTTATTATTGGCTTGTCATCAACTCCCAGTTTGGGAAACCCTGCTCTTAAGTTTTCCTAATTTAAATAGTTGTTTTTGCAATCGCCAGCATTGGCATTATTACAGCACTCGGTGCAAACTTTCCTAACTGCTCCAAAAGTTGTTTGGCTCTCCATTTGTCATCTTATTTAGAGAGCGGTCATATATGACTCTGTTTATGAAAGTTTCATGGCTCGGCAGGCAGCAGATTTTGCAATTTCGCTCAGACGCTGGTGGCTGATCATGGAGTTTACAGACACTTTTGCCCAGTCAAGGGAAGAAACGGATGATAATTGAGCAGCCGTCAGTCAGATGGAAAAACAACTCCTTCCTTTCGAGATTCTCAATCTTATCCCTTGACCTTATCTTAGACGCTATGACATGTCCCTACCAATATCCAGCGACTACTAAACTGCCCCTAGCAATAATATTGATCACACAATTACAGTTTTTGCCTATTGCTTGAACACTATAGACACATGCTTAGCTTTCAATGATTGAACTGTCTGCCACCAACTGAACTGTACTGCTCAAACTATTTCAAATATAGTGAATTAAGCTTCAAACTCGATCATAATGCACAATGTTTCCATCTAACATGTATTTTGAGGTGCAGCTCGTCATATTAATGGCGTGTTTAACTGGTTAAGAGGACACATAGGATGAATATAGAGATACCGTTTTCACTGATTCAGGATTAACAGAACTTCGGATAGTTTCCATGCACTTCAAAATCAAGAAAAGAGAGATTTAGAGCCAGCACATTTTTGTTTATGTATGTGAAAGTCAGCGAGCAGGAAACACAAATGAATTAAGTTATATTTTCCTATATTCTCTTTGGAGTAGTCAAACAATCCAAAGAAAACATATTTAAAACAGAGAGAAATGTCACTTGCAAAATGAGACTGGATGAACATTAAAAATGTCAACCTAGCCTACAAAGCTACCTGAACAACTGCGCAACTGCGTTAATTCTAAACGCAA